TCTGAAGATCTGTGTCTTTCTGTATACCTGGGAAGTTTTCTGCCACTATTTTGTTGAATATGTTTTCAATGCAATCTCCGTTTTTTTCCCCTTCTGGAATACCTATGACTTGGATATTTGAGCACTTAAGTTTATCTGATATCTGTCTTAGATTTTCTTCAATGTTTTTAATTCTTTTTTCTTTTGTTTTTGTCTGCCTGTGTTATTTCAAACAGCCCATCTTCAAGGTCAGAAGTTGTCTCTTCTACTTCTGCAAGCCTCCTGGTTAAACTCTCTTGTGTTTTTTATTTTGTTGAATGGGATTCTTCAGCTTGGCAAGCTCTGCTACATTCTTTTCAGGGTATTGATTTCCTTGTACATTTCTTCTTTCAGGTCCTATATACTTTTCCTCATTTCATCATGTTGTCTAGCTGAGTTTTCTTGTATCTCATTTAGTTTCCTTAGAATTAGCACTCAAAATTCCTTGTCAGACATTTCAAGGGCTTCTTGTTCTATAGGATCTAGAGCAGGAGAGTTGTTACCCTTTGGTGGTGTGCTTTCTTGATTTTTCATATTTCTGGTATCTTTCCTTTGATGTTTAGTCTTTGTGGCTGGGGATTTCACGGTCCACTGGTTTGACACTATTGTCTGGCTAGGGTGCTGCTGGGGCTGCCAGTTTGGTACGGCTACCTCAGTGTCTGTTCAGTTGCCCACTAGTGCCTCGGTGTGTGGTTGCCTTGGGTCTTGGGCCTCTCCAGGGAGGTGCCTCTCTGGTCAGTGTGCCCTTGGCTGGGCTGGGGATGGAGTCAGGCAGTGGTGGCAAGGCCTACCTGCTGGGTTGCGTGCTGGCACCACAGGGCACGTAGTCTCCGTGGATCTTGGGCCTCTCTCGGATTTCCCACCTTTAATAGTTACAGTGGGCATTAAGCTTCAATGACTTTGCGGGGGGGCATTCAATTCACTGCAACAGGAATTCCAATTTTAGAAATTTATGTGAAGGAAATAATGGGATAAGCCCACGTAATGTAACAGTTTTACAGTAGTGAAAAGTTGGACTGAAAAGAGGAGACATAAACACCCATTATTTTTACAAAAACAAGATAATTTTAGGTGGAATGGAACAGGGAGTGGAGGAGGGAAAACAAATTTTGACTGTTTTTCTAATAAAAAAATTGTAGGTCTAAATTTTTCTAATATAAGCCAAATTTTATTTGAAGTGGTATAGGGATCAATAGATTCTCTGTGTATGATCAGTAACCAGTTAGAAGATATAAGAAGGAGAGAGATTTCCATTCATGGTGACAGTAACTGCGACTCATGAATGTAGAATTCTGACTCTCCACCAAGCCCAGCAAATTCTTTACCTATATCCACAGGCCTCACAGCAGTCCATGCAGCATAGTTTCTTATCTTATTTTATAGGAGGGAAACTGAGTCATGAAGAGCTTCAGTGCCAGTATATCACACAACTAGGTGGTGAAGCTGGTAGAGCCCATCTGTTTAACCACTACATCTACTGGCCTAACAAGGAAAGTTTGAAACATAAATAAGGACAACTACAAAAATTTTACTGGGAGATATGGAAGTAAATTAAGACAAAAGAAAAGAAATGTCATGCTCTTAAATGGAATGACAATATTTTAAAGATGTGCATTCACTCCAAATTCACTTATAGATTTATCACAACCCCTAAAAGTAAATATTTTTAACTTGATAAAATGGTCCAGAGTTTATACAGAAGAATAAATAGATGAAAATAGCTATGATATTTCTGGAAGAATAACTACAGAATGGGGATGGCCCTACTTAGTACTGAAGTACAAGCCAACATCATTAACATTTTCATGGTTAGCCTAACAGACCCAGGCTGACACTGACAGGCACTTACCCTGTGCCAGGCAGTCCTGAGCCTGGCCAGTTGTAAACTCATGTTACCTCCCGACAGTTCATGAAGTAGATGCTGCCATTGTTCCCATTTTGTATTTGAGGAAACTGAGGCACTTGTTCCAAATTGCACAGCTGGTAAGTGGCAGGGATAGCATTTATATGTAGGCTGTCTGTCTCCACCTGGAACATTTGAAAGTGTAGTGTGAAACAGGAGAGGTGGCACCACAAACCAGTGGGGCAGGCAGATGCTTCCGTAGATGCTGTTGAGGAAACTGACATGTTCTTTCTTCCCTAACAGTGTTTCAATGGTCCTTCTTTTATCATTTTCTTCTGCTTAGAAAACATTTTACCTGTTCTTTTAGGTAGGTCTGCTGATGACAAATTCTCTTAGTTTTCCTTCATCTGAGAATGTCTTGACTTCCCCTTCATTTTCGAAGGATATATTTGCTGGGTATATATCCTCTGGGGTGATGGTTCTTTTATTTGAGCATTTGAAAAATATTGTGCCACTTTCTTGTGACCTCCATGGTTACTGATGACAAATCCATTGTCAATTTTTGTTTCCCTATTGTTTTCCCCCTATTGGTGAGGTATATTTTTTTGTTTCTGGCTGCTTTCAAGATTTTTTTATTTGCCTTCAGTTTTCAGAAGTTTAATTATAATGTGTCTTGGAGTAAATTTCTTTGGTTTTATCCTGTTTCAGGTTTGTTCAGCTTCTTGAATCTGTAGGTTTGTGCTGCTTGTTAAATTTGGGGGAAATGTTCAGCCATTACTTTTTTGAGCACTTTGTAAACTCTGTTTTCTTTCTCCTCTCCTTCCAGGACTCCATGAGATGCCTTTTTTTCCCCCTGAGGCTGTGCTCTTTTTTTTTCTCCCAGTCTATTTTCTTTCTGTTGTTCAGACTGGGTAATTTTTATTCTATCTTCCAGTTCACTGATTCTTTCCTTTGTCCTTTCATTTCAGTAGAGCCCATCCACTGTACTTTTTATTTCAGTTTTTGTATATTTCAGTTCTAAAATTTTCATCTGGTTCTTTTTTGTCTTCCGTTTCTTTGTTGAGCCTTTATATTTTTTCATGTTTCAAAAGTGTTTATGATTGCTCACTGAAGCATTTGTGTTATGGCTGCTTTGCTTTGTCAGATAATTCAAACGTCTTTGTCATCTCAATGTTGGCATCCACTGTCTTCTTTTTTAATTAGGTTGAGATTTTCCTGTTTCTTGATATGAAGTGTGATTTGTCTGATAAAACCCAGACATGTTATGAAACTCTGGCTTTTTCTGACACCTCTCTGGCAAAGGTGGTGGTTATGCCTCAGGTTCCCCACTCAGTCTCTGTTGATACCGGCAATGGGGGAGGATCCTCATTACTGCTGGATGGGGGTATGAGTTCTGGCCCCCCAGTGTGGTCTCCACTGACACCACAGGGAGAGGGCTACATTACCAGTCAGCAGAGCTGAAAGTCCTGGCTCCCTTCTTGGCCTTCTCTGACACCACCCAGGTGGGGATATTGGTGTGTCTCCTTACCGCTCTGCCAGGTAGATGTCCAGGTTCTCCACTTGGCCTGCGCTGGCATGGGTGGGTTTTCTTTTCTTTCTTTTTTTTTTTTTTTAATTCTGTGGTGTTTGGCTGAAGTGGAGCAGTTATTGTCCAAAAGTTTTCTGTCTTGCTAGGCTACCCCTTTCCTGGTCCTTTGGCTGGGGTGAGCATGGTTTTATTGAGACTTTCTTTTTGCACCCATAGGCATTTCAGGTTGCCAGCTTCTTCAGCTCTAAGTCTGGGATATATCAGGTGAAAAGAAAACCCAGGGAACTCACCACGAGCAGTTCCTAGAGTCCCAAGGTTCCTAACTGGTCTGCCTTTCTCTCTTCCCCTTTCAGAATCTTATGTTTATGTCATATATAATGTCTAGCATTCTTAGTTGTATTTAGCCAAGGCCTAAATTTTGAAATAGAATATAGTCACACACTATACATACATTTAGCTTTACTGTAATTCAGCAATACTCTCTGTGGTTGGAAGGGAAAAGAAAAGATTTTAGGTGGCAGGAGATCTTCTGCCTACTATTCAGTGGGTTTATGCCTAAAGTGGGTGTAATTGCATGTGAAATAGTTCATATTATATATCTGTTTGTAGAGGGTTTT